CACTCCTGTCTTCCACTGCCTCATGCAGTTTGTCAAACTCATGCTGGTAGCTTCAAAAACACTGTCCAATCATCTCGTCCTCTGTTGTCCCCTTCTCCTTGTGCCTTCAATCTTTCCCAACATCAGGGTCTTTTCCAGGGAGTCTTCTCTTCTCATGAGGTGGCCAAAGTATTGCAGCCTCAGCTTCAGGATCTGTCCTTCCAGTGAGCACTCAGGGCTGATTTCCTTCAGAATGAATCAGTTTGATGTTCTTGCAGTCCATGGGACTCTCAAGAGTCTCCTCCAGCACCCTAATTCAAAAGCATCAATTCTTCAGCAATCAGCCTTTGTGGTAACAATAATGTTGCCAGATCCCTGCCTTAAACCAATGCATGCCTAATTCTACACCCATGCAACACCACACTTGACCAGTGGCACATAGATTTTATAACTGAAAATGCAGCTACTAGACAGATTCCTAGCTGTGTTATAGGGGGGGAAAGATCCTTAAATCCAAAGCATAATTAAATAAAATTCCTTTCCTAGTTTATCAGCACATGGGAACCTTTGACTTATAAACATGCAATTTTATTCACCTGCAGCAATGGACTTCTTACAAGGTTTGTTGTCTCCTGCACATTTACATAAATCTACTCTCCCCCAGGAATTTTAAATGCCTTATCTCCCTGTACTGCTATAGTGGAAAGGAGACAGTGACACCCACTGTTCAAACAGTAACATAACTGCAGATGTTTTGAGCTTTCCCACTGCTAGTGCAGACTTGAGTTACTGCTTCTTCAGATATTTATTTGGGCTGATGGGCTGATGAGCTGATGGGCTCAGAGCAGGTTTCAGAGCTTTATTTACCTTTTTCAAATATCACAGTTTCCTGTCCCTGAAGGATTCCCACACTATTCAAGAAATGAAAAAGAACATTCATTTTAAAAAACAGCTTGAAAGGAACTGAAGAACACGGGGGTACAGAAGCTAAATAATTCAAAATTGATAGTTTTACAGAGAGAGTACAATTATTATTAGTTATTAGTTTCTAATTAATCTCACAAAGTTATTAATCTCAAGAAGAGTTGGACACAACTAAATGACTAAACAACTAAACAACAACAACAACATTAATTTATATACCGCTTAATGCCAAAATAGGCTTCAGGTAAGTGGTCTACAAGTATAAGAATCAATTACACAAGCATTAAAAAAAGAAACATAATTAAAATACACAATTAAACTATGCAACAAAACAATCCAATTAAAATGATAAAATATGAATATTCATAATTAAAATATTAAGTAAAACAACACAGTAATTAGAATGTGGCTGCTACAACTTGCAGACTTAACATATAGAATAAGAGAACAAGAAGAACATATGTTTAAAGAAGATTGGAAAACGTTTATTGAATATATGGAAAATAATTGTGTGCAGCTGAAAATGCTGGCAGCATAAAGATAAATTCAACAGTGTGAATAAGTTTTGATGGGTGTAATAATGGAAAACCGATTGGTATAGTTTTTGTAAAATATGCAGGGATATAAGCTATGTAAAATAAACCATGGAAAGAGAAGAATGGAAGTCATTGATATCTTAAGTATGTAAAATGTTTATCTGAAATGGTAAAACAGAAAATTTTAATAAAAATCATATTAAAGATTTTTAAAAACGTGGCTGCTAGCCCCAATGTTTATGTTCTGTTTCCACTGTCTGAGGTGATGAGCCTCTGAATTTCAGTTTCTGGGAATCGCAGGTGCAGGGGTTCATGCAGTCCTTAAGGTATCCTGGACTGAAGTTTCTGTATTAATACAAGAACTTTTAACCTGGCCTCTAAGCATATGGACAACCAAAGCATTTGTTTTAGCAGAGCTGTCAGCTGTCTGCCCCCTTCAGCAGGCTGGCTACTGAATTCTGCACTAGAGCTTCCAGATCAGGGGGAAAAGGCAGCCCCACATAGAGCATATTATAGTCTGCCTGCGATACGCGAAGTTGCCTTATAGTGAATCAAGCCATTGTGTCAACTAACCCAGTGCTGGCGTCAGCAGTCCAAGGTCTCAGGCAGGGGTCTTAGCCATCACCTGCTCCCTGAGATTCTCTTCAAAGGTGAGGCCAGGGAGTTAATCTTTTGTATGTACAGCATGCACTCAGCTGCTGAGTGGCAACTGCTCTCGTGAACTCCACAAAAAGGTGAGCGACTTAACTTATACAAGTACTCTTAATTTATACAAGGAGTTATTCGTGCTGGGAATAACTCTGTCTGAAACCCCACAGAGCCACTGACAGTCTGTGTAGACAACAGTGAGCTAGATGGATTGATGGCCTGATCCATTGCTATAGCTCAGGTGGAGTCAACACACATATAAAAAAAACCGCTGTGAAAATGCTTTCTTTAAAAAATATATATTTTGAAAAATATATTGAATTTCCTATAGCTTACCATTGCCATCTAGTGTCACATTTGTGTATTGCACTTTGCAACACAAAACATTTCATTTGCAGCTGCATAGCTGAGTCCTCAGTCTGTAGAGCAGAAGACTCTAAATCTCAGAGTCATGGGTTCTAGGCCCACACTGGGCAAAGGTTTCCTGCATTGCAGGGGGTTGGACTAGATGACCCTCATGGTCCCTTCCAGCTATCTACAATTCCATGACTCTGTTAATCTACAACCCAGTAGAATACAGCTTTCTGTGTTCCTATGTGTGTCCAGACTTTCCCTGTTGAGAAAAAGAGTGTTCAGTTTTTGAAGTGGGGTGGGGTAGAGAAACAAGGAATCCATCTCTGTCACTTCAAGTAATGTTTTTTGGGGGGTGAGAAATTCAACAAAGCTGAACAATCCATCACTGTCTCCACTATTAACTTTTTTGGGAGGGGCGGGGAGAGGAAACCAAGCTGAAAACCCATGACTGTCACTCCTAACTATAGTTGGATCTGAAACTTTTGAATAGTGAATTCTCTTAAATTCTACGTACCATTTATATGTACCTGAGGTGGGGGGGAGGGCAGGACGCAAGTCATGTGCCTAGCATCACTGATGTATGCCTTTCAAGCGCCCTGAGCAAAGTAAATGAAGGTTTTCCTCCAAATGATGGAGGAAAAGCTAAAGCTAAAAAATTTTGTTGTTGAGGGAATCATAACACTGTAGATTTGGAAAGCACCGCTAGGGTAATCTAGGCCAACCCCTTGCAATGCAGGAATATTTTGCCCAGTGTGGGGCTCGAACCCTGAGATTAAGAGTCTCATGCTCTACCCACTGAGCTATGGAGTTGGAGAGAGTCTAAGATGGGGTTATAGGATCCAGAAGCAGGATCTTAGATACACAGAGCAAGGCAAGCCATGCCCGTCAGTCACTTAGCACAAAAGAGCCCCGATTGCATTCCAAAGGGTTGGGCTTCATTCCTTAAAGTTTAAAGGGCCACTGGAGCTCACAAGATTGCATCAGCTGGTATCAGGCGTTGTTGGTTCAGTCATTCTGTTGCTGTGCCTCTTGGTATCTGACCTGGACTAATGACTCACTGTGGTTTATTGCCTTGGCTCTCAGCTATTGCAAAAGCGAGAGGAAATCATCTGAGCCATTGCAACCATAAGCTGCACTTTCCTGTGAACACCTTTTGTTGCTTTAGTTCTGTGATGATCCTCACCTGGTGCTCTGAAATCAGTGCCAGCCTGTCTTGGTCTTATTATCCCTTGCCTGTTGTTGGTAACCTGTACTTGCGTGCCAAACATAGTTACCAATAGCACCATGAACAAACGGAACCCTACTTTCCTTGCTGCACCAGAGACCTGAGTAGCTCGGAAGTGTGCTCTCTGATCCACACACAGTTGCACCAATAAAACGTCACTTGAGCTACTTTGGATACCATTTCTCTGAAGTAGGAATCTCCATGGATCTTGATGGCAAGTGTGCTCCGATGAATCAGACTTAAGTCTGAAAGACAGCGGTTCAGATCCCAGATCTGCTGTGCGTTTCCGGATTAGAGACAAGGCATTTATTCTCATTCTCAGTCCTCCACCTGTAAAATGGGAACAAACCAACAAACACCTGACAAAGATGCTGTAAAGGCGCATGCAATGACGTTTGTAATGAATTTGGCAGATTACATGCCATATAAATAAATAAAAACTAGCTGGCGATCGTAACGCATACCTGTAGCACTCCTTATTTTACTTTCCTTCGACAGAAATCTCTCTCTCTCTACCACACACACAGTGTGTGTGTGAGACAGAGATTTGCCTAGGAAATCTTGCAAACGTAGACATATTGATTATTCATGCAGTCTTCGCTAATTGTCCCAAAGTCAACAGTGCTGCCTCGTTGGCTGGGCTAATTGTATTTCGACCCGTGTGTGGATTTTACAAAGCGGCTTCTTAAAGGCAGAAACAAGAAAGCAAGCGGCAAGTGAGACGAGCGGCTTGCAGGTTTTTCGAGGCTGCTAGCCAATGGCTGTCCAGCATGGAACTGTCCACAGAGGAGCTGGTCCTGCTCGGACTCGCATCCAGCTCCAGGGTTAGATGCTTGGCTCCACCTTTCGGAGGCAAACCTCCGCTTTCGCCCAGAGGCTAGCCAGACCCTTCGCACGCTGCGCGAGAACCTGCAGCCCCAAATCCAGCGGAGTTCTTCTCACTTACTCTCCCTTCGTGGTTCTGCCTCTCAGGGAAATAAAAACGCAGCAAGAAGAAAGCAGAGGCAGAGAGGAAAAGAAAAAGGACCCGCCTCCCCACCGGGGGAAAGAACTGGAGACCACAAGACCGAAGGAACAGAATCTCTGTGTTTTATCATCTCCACGAGAGCTCTTTAGGAAACGAACCGCTGGTGGGATGGGGTCGAGTTATCTTTCGGGGTGCTGCTGAGACTTGTGGGGTGCTGGGTGTGGGTCTACAATGCAGGGGCAGTTGTCGTTGAGTCTGCCCGGCAGGAGCCAAGCCCCGGCAGCAGGTGTGCCGTCCCGCTCCCGGCTGGAGGTGGCTCGGACAGTTCCCACCCGCAGCCTGAGCCGCTGAGCCGCGTGGTGCTGAAATGGACAGCTCCTCGGTGGCTTTGCCCCTGAATGGCTCCGGGAGCCAGGAGAAGGCCGCTGGGGACCAGCTCTCCGGGCGCTTCTCCACCATGTGGACCATCGTCCTGGCCGTCCTCATGGCTTTGTTGATCGTGGCTACGGTCGTTGGCAATGCCTTGGTGATGCTGGCTTTTGTGGTGGACTCCAGTCTGAGGACGCAAAACAATTACTTCCTTCTGAACCTGGCCATCTCCGATTTCCTAGTAGGTAAAGTACCACACCTCGGCTTCACCTCTCTTCCTCCGTGGCTCATACTTCGTACGCTCGTCTAACCCCATTAGGAAAAGGGATGGCGCGGTGAAGGTCTGGGCAGGGTGCCGTGGAGAAGACGCTTAGTTTTATTCTGTAGATCGCTTCTCAGGAGGACTTAGAGGGGAAAGGGGGCCTAAGGGAGACTTTCGCCTGTCCCCCTCCCATTGGGGCACAATTTCAAGTTGTTAAAGATTGTTCTTAGAAAAATTAACTCGTCTGCTTATGCCTTTTAGAGCCAGGAAGTAATTTTCCCAGGCTAAAGCATTTCAAACAGCAGAGAGTCAAATGCAACTATATGTAACGACAAAAGGTGGGCAGGGTTAAGAACTACTCTGGTTATCAAGCCAGTTTTATATAACTAATGTTTTCTTTCCACTGTGGAACCACTGTGTAGAAAAATGACACTTTTTCTCCCTTTCATAACTGATGTCTGCCCTGTTGCTTGGAACTTAGACTATTGTAGCATTGTTTTTGGTACAAAATCCCATGAAATGACATAAAGGTAGCCTTATCTGAGATCAAGGGGACTCATTTCCAAGTAAGGGGGATCTGCTTAGGTTCAAAAACTTTGGATTCACTGTGTTGCAGATGGCACTTCCAAGAATATCAAATGTACCTGTATGTATGCCCGAGAACGTATTAAATTTACATTGAAAATTAATCACCCATGAATACATTGGGAGGGGTCAACCACTGCCATAGAAGGGGTTCTAAGGTGTGGATTGGATTCAAAGGAGCCATGGAGGGGAACCGGGGCTCAGAGGATATGCACCACAGACCATGTAACTTCCCAATTCCCAATTCCCTCCCACCTTATGCTCCAGGAAAGGTGTAGCAGAAGGTCCCGGGTTCAGTCCCCAGGTGCTGCTGCAAAAGACTAGTCTTGCCTGAAATCACTGAGAGCCACTGCCGGCCAGTGTAGACAATACTGAGATGGATAGACCATTGGTAACTTCCCAATTCCCAATTCCCTCCCACCTTATGCTCCAGGAAGTGTGTAGCAGAAGGTCCCGGGTTCAGTCCCCAGGTGCTGCTGCAAAAGACTAGTCTTGCCTGAAACCCTGGAGAGCCACTGCTGGCCAGTGTAGACAATACTAAGCTAGATGGACCATTGGTCTGACCCAGTCTAAGCCACCTTCTTATGTCCCTCTGTGCTGTAGAGAAGCATGCCATAAACTACTTGCTTTCATTCAGCACATCAGACTTCCAGCCATGGATGACTGGAGGTTTGTACCTGTTTTCTGTGCACACACAGCTCCTGGGCCCTGCCAGTTTTTGTGAGAATAAAGCACAAATCACTCTGGGCTACTCCTATTTTTCTCTAAGTACAAAGGATTCCCCTTTCTCTACCCTTAAAGCGTAGGTTCCCAAGGACAGGCACACATGGACAGCGTCCAGCTTTAGAGAGGTAGCTGCTTCCTCGCATAGTGGTTTACTTGTTGGGTGCTGTTGACTACCTGTTACCATGGCTTCCCTTACTCAGACCTCTATCTATGTATCTATCAATGCTGCTCAGAACAAAATCTCAGCGGGGACTACTGTTTCCAGAGGAGCAGGGATGTTAACTTTTGTGGGCTCATTTTTCAGGGAATGGGGGCAGGCATGGTCATCTTACAGAAAATGAAGATACTGGTAGACTGGATATATAATTCTACAGATGGCTGATGAAATTATGCAGATATCCTTGACAGTCAACCCAATATTGTGACTCATTCCTGGGGTGACTTCCAGTATTTCCAGATGTTGGTTGGCCATGTATCACCCCCTTTTGCCAACAAAGAGTAATATCTGTCCTCCCTCAACAGCACTCATCTCTCCAGTTTTTTGGGGGGTCAAATCCTGGATTTCACCTTAAAGTGGCTAAGAGCAAAGGGGGAATCTTTCTGGGCGTTGAGGCACAGTTCCATATGGCTGTGATCATTCTCTAGATGCAAAACCTCTGAAATGCAAATTGATGGATATGCCAGGCAGCCTGGGGGCAAGGGGGATTAAGCAAAGTGGATGTCAGTGTAGATTTCCTACTGATGCCAGACTAGGTAGATGATGTGCCAAAATGGATTATATGCTTTCCAAAAGGGTACAAGGTGGACTAGTCCCTTGCCAAATGATTTGCAAGCAGAAATAAACTCTGAGATTATCCCTCCAGAACAATAAACCTAACCCTTCTCCCCCCCCCCCTTTTTTCTTTTTTGCACTGCGGAGTATGATGTTAACAGATACAAAAACAGGATTATGTTTCTACATAGCAGGAACATTATTTTCACTTCATGAAACGTCAGGACTGCTTCAAGAATTTGTCGGAATTTTCCATCCACACACGTCTATTCCTAAATCACATAAAACGTTTTCCTTGTGTGACTGCTGTGCACATGCAAGTATATAATGTGTGAAAACAGCTGTTGGAGTTAGACGGCAAAGTAAATAATTGGTTTTGGCCGCAACCCTGTGCAAACTCGGCTTCACAAATCCCCTTGAGGGAAAATAGGAATCAAGGTGCCATTTCAAAGTTCAGTTGCATGCTGCAGAGTGGACAGAGAGAGTCAGCAAAATTCAAACACACACACACACACACACACACTTTATTTTAAGAATGTGTGTGTTAAAACAACAACCAAAATAACTATCTTTACTTTCATATTTTTATCCCCTTTTTCAGGAAAACCTTTCAGGCAACCAACAGCAAAGAATAGCATATAACAACAGTATCTTTAAAAATGCAGGAATACAACATTAAGACAGAAATTAAAGCCACCATCTACTAAAAGCTAGGGAAAAGAAAGCCAACATTGTAGCTGCCAAGCGCCTGTTCTTGAGAGATTATTCTACAACTTTGGGTGACACTACTGAAATGGCCCTACCACGGGCCAAAACTCACCTTTTTTTCAAAGGCAGGGGTAAAGTAAGAGTCTCTGATGTAGGTCCAAATTAATGGGCAGGTTCACATCAGAGCGGGTGATCCTTTAGATATATTAATCCCAAGAGAAATGTGTCTTAGGTTATATTTGATGCTACAGAATGAAAGTGAATGAAGGGTGTTTCCCCCCCCCCTTAAATACTAGAGAGAAATGTTTTGAGCAGCCTTCCATCTAACTCCCATGTTATAATCCATGGGTAGGCAAACTAAGGTCCGGGGGCCAGATCCGGCCCAATCGTCTTCTAAATCCAGCCCGCAGACGGTCCGGGAATAAGCATGTTTTTACATGAGTAGAATGTGTGCTTTTGAGTAGAATGAGTAGAATGGTGACTGGGAGTGGCCGCCGGGACCACATAACACCAGTCCTGAGAGATCTGCATTGGCTCCCAGTACATTTCCGAGCACAATTCAAAGTGCTGGTGCTGACCTTTAAAGCCCTAAACGGCCTCGGTCCTGTAAACCTGAAGGAGCGTCTCCACCCCCATCGTTTAGCCCTGAGATCCAGCATCGAGGGCCTTCTGGTGGTTCCCTCATTGCGAGAAGTGAGGTTACAGGGAACCAGACAGAGGGCCTTCTCGGTAGTGGCACCCGCCCTGTGGAACATCCTTCAGATGTGAAAGAAATAAGCAGCTATCTTCTTTTTAAAAGACATCTGAAGGCACCCCTGTTTAGGGAAGTTTTTAATATTTAATGCTGTATTGTTTTTAACACTTGATTGGAAGCCGCCCAGAGTGGCTAGAGAAACTCAGCCAGATGGGCGGGGTATAAATAATAAATTATTATTATTATTATTATTATTATTATTATTATTATTATTATTAAAATGCATGTGTGGGTTATTTGTGGAGCATAGGAATTTCCCCCCAAAAAAATATAGTCCAGCCCCCCACAAGGTCTGAGGGACAGTGGACCGGCCCTCTGCTGAAAATGTTTGCTGACCCATGTTATAAATCAACTGAAGTGTTGGATTGGTCTCCAAGAGCAACTCAATGAATAATGCACTGCAGTAGTCAAATAAGGGCATTGCTGGAGCATGGATTCCACCTATTATCTCTATAGAGGTGTTATCAACATGCATTTCCTTTTTTTTAAGCAAAAGTGTCCTCCGCCCGCTACCATTGGCATGTCTACCTAATACAAAGACAGTCCCATTTAACTGCATATAGGAAAAGTCGCTGGATGTGTAGTGAGCAGACTAGAAATACAATAGTTTGAAACATCATAGCAATGCATCTCACCAGAGACAAGCTCCTGGTTTTACCTGTTTTGTTTGTTTTTTAAAAAATCACTTTATGTGTACACTTTCCTTTGAAAATATCAAGCCAGCTTTGTGTTTACTGATAGACCTGATTGTAGCAGAACTTCATCCAATACAACATCTTTCACAGGGCACTCATTTTTCCTCCTCTTCGTTTTAGATAAGAAAAGCTTGTGTCCGATAGCACTGCTCTTTCTCTCCAAATCTGGTGCTACCTGAGCATTTGTTGCTCCTGAGACTGACCAGAAGTGCCTGCCTGGCAAAATGTCCTGACATACTCGGGTGATTTAGGAGCACAGGGGATTATTAATAAAAAATATTGCTATCATTTCTCCTTGAAAGTAGGACTCTAATCCTTAAATCCTTAAATATCCGTAGCCTTTTGCAAACACAGTCTTCAAGTCTGCCAACTTTCCATTGTTCCTTTTTGCAAATGGCTTTGCAAACATGGGCAAATGAAGTAAGACTCAATCCAGACAAAACAAAGCAGCTGTCAGTTTGTATGAAAGAGTTGGTTTGTTTATTTATTTATAGATCTAAATGTTGATAGACACCCCCCCATCACATAAAATACCAGGGTGGTGCACAACAGAATTTAATGCACAAAAAGCATATATATATATATATAAGTTCTCAAGGAAACAAGACTAGCCATGAGGGTGCCAGCCAAATTTCTGCTGGAAGACTATTCCATAGGGAGGAATTCAACATCATGCTGTTATGATCATTTCATCAACTCTAACAGGAGTGCCAACTTGGCACCACGATTGTGGTTGCCCAGGACCATGGGTGCCATGCAGCATGCATGGCCCCAGCAACGAAATTTGTTGATGCCCTGCCCCATCATG